AAACCATATTGATGAGTTGATAAGAGATTGGTGTTGGGCTGATGAGCGCTGGACTCAGGGGAACTTTGAAACACTTTGTATTCATATTTCTGATAATATAAGCTGTGAGACTCGGTCCTCTTCTTGTCTACCTTTGTCTATGGTTGATACTATTGAACACTGCGTGTGAAGATGATGCATGAYATGTACACATTTGCGTGAGATGGTCCCTAGGACCCATGCAATAATAATAAAATAATGATAATACTCATAATAAATTCTGTTTCCAAATTGGAGAAAACAAAAGGCTGCTGACCCCTCAATTCTTCCTTTTTTTTTTCTTTTTTTTTCTTTGACTGACTCCCTCAATTCCACTAGGCACCATGGCCATGGCCCATTACTCGTCATCAGCATATGCGGGAGCCAGGTCTATCAAGAAGTCCTCCTCAGCCCCTATTTCAGGAAAGCCAAAAGGAGAAACAGAGAAAATCAGAAAACAAAATCCAAAGGACAGTTACCTTCAAACATGACAACCACATTCTCGATGAACTGCGAGACATGGAGGAGAGCTTTCGCCATTGCGACGAGGACAGAGTCCACAGCCGCGTTTGTAGCCCCATCGTCATCCTTTCTCCTATTGGAGTCCTTGAAGGTGGTGGCGAACGAGTGGACGAGGACACGTGTCACTCCAGTGTGTCTGATCAAGCTCTGATGCATCCAGAACTTCCTTCCAATAGTGGAATTGAAATTGATGAATCTCGACCGGTGAGGGGGGAAGCTCTCGACATCATCATCTGCGGCTGCCTTATGCACCGTCGACAGCAACTCATCAGGTGAGGTCATAATGGCACCCACAAGGGTGTCTGGGTCATCGATTCTCATCCAAGGGAAAGCTGATGGGTCAATGCGATGATGTTGCTGCTGCTGCTGTGTTCGGTGAGGGCGTTCATCGTCCGCGCCTCCAACCTCCCCACCTTTCAATGACAAGGACCGGGGTTCAGCTCCAGACGCAGAGAGAGCCTGCAGAAGAGGACCTTGACTGTCTGCTTCTTCAATAATGGGCTGAAGGGATGATGGCCTTCGTCGTGCCAAATGCCCTCCACCTCCACCTCCCCCTTTTGCTTGCCCTCGCTCTGCTCCTTCTGATGCTGCGAGGTCATCCATTGAGGCTGAGAGCTGAGCAGCTATTGGCCAAGAGGCATGTGCACCAGAGTTTGTTTTGGATACCATCTCCTCCCAGGCGTCGCCAGCTTGCAGTCCCTCAGATGATATGTTTCGCATCCCGAAGGGAGGTGGGGAGGTTCCATCTGACATGGATGGTTTCAACATTCCTCTGACCTTACCATTCTCAGGCCAATCTGTAAGTTGCAGATCCAGGGGAGCTGGGCAATGCCCATACAGGCAGGCAAACTCTGACAGCACCTGATAGCGTGTGAGTGGTTATCATCACCACCGCCATGAACCCACACGCAAAACAAAACACGAAGAAAAAAGAAAAGAAAACAGGCACGCAGAGGTCAGAAACTCGCTAGCAAACTTGCAAACACACCAAGAGCACACACACACACACACACACACACACACCGTGAGAGAGAGAGAGAGAGAGAGAGAGAGAGAGAGAGAGAGAGAGAGAGAGAGAGAGAGAGAGAGAGAGAGAGAGAGAGAGGTGTTTGACCTTGATGAAGCAGCAATGGGAGAATGCAAGAAAGGCAATGATGTTTAGTCCAAGAGTCCTACTAACTGTAGAAAAGTACGGAGTTCCGACGGCTGTAGACTGGAGAGAAGTGGGGTCCGTGATTGTGCATGTGGTGAGCGACTTACTGGAAAAAGTGGAGCGCTATGCTAGGGACCACCCTGAGGTCACAAATACAAACCAGGAATTGCATACAGACCAAGCAGAGGATTTCCATTACGATCGAGCAGTATGGGCGCAGCCCTGGTCAGAGCACTGTGTAACATCATGCGCAATGGCATACTCCAGGAAACAAGAGACCTCCCCAGGCCAGGACCAGCAGTTATTGTGCCTAGCAGCGTAGGCAATGATTTGCCTTAAACCACCATTTCCCTGTGTTTTTCACATGAAGTACTCCATAGCCAATGCCCTTTAAGAGGCTGGAGAGCTCATGTGAGTTGGCGAAAGTCGAAGGTGGAGGAAAGTGGCGTCAGCCCGGTGGAGACCAAAGTGCGGAGAAGCCAGGAGAACGCTGGTCCCGCTTGGAGAATCATCACAGTGCTACTGGGAGGTCATCATCAACCTATCTGTGTTTTTTCTTCTGTGTTTCGTCTTGTGCATGCGATCATCATCTGGAGTCTTTCATACTGTTGCGTGTCAATTCATATTTCATCATTACAGGTCATCAACTTCGCTGAACATTATCTTCCTACCTCTCGTCATCCTCGTCAAAGCTTTCGTCATCGACCTATCCTCATCAATTTACTGTGGTTTTCATCTTCTTTTTCGGCAATACCTGGCTGCCACACGGCTACTGGGTGATTCTCCACGTCAGACTCGGTCAGAGGAGGGTACTCCTATCATTCCCACCACTAATTATCACTAGCATTCTTCACCAGCACGCTGCTGTGTAATATAACGGCACGCTGTTGTGTAATACAACGGCGTTATCAAAAAAAAAAAAAAAAACACTATTCACCAGAGCCCGGTGCAGCATTCTTTATCATGCTTTTTATTAAACCGTGTAAACTCAATCATTCCCAAGGCGCTTCTCACCTCTCATACCTGTTTTTTTTTCATCTGCATCGCATGGCTTCATACCACCCTACCTTCTTCAGTCTCAATCTCATTATCTCCTTCCTCATTAACGCAGCCTGGTCTCCATTCAATGGCTTTTCTAGCCGTCATCTTCAACATGTTATCATCATCCCTTTTATTAAATCTCATGCTTGATGTTGTATGCGCCCTCTCCAGCAATGAAGGTTGGATGGATTGAGTGGGGAGAGCTCTAATCCGTAGGGGAAATGCAAGGTGCGGGGTGTTTTCCTTTAGGGATTAACGGCAGACAAGTGGACTGTTCAGCTCTGGGACTTGGAGAGATGGAAGGAGGAACATCATCGACTAGCGGTGGCAGAGAAGGACAGCGAGCTTGCTGGGGGAACAAGTTGCCTCGTTGGGAGGAGGGTAGAGGGAGGCTCGTCTCTTGCTGGGGCTGATGAACTGACGTCATCACGGTGGTTCTGATTAGTGGAGGCAGCGAGGGGAGAGGTGGGATGGTAAGAGGAGTACAAGGTGGAGGAGACAGGGGAGGGTGAAGAAACACCAAGAACCATCATCATCATCATCATCATCATCATCATCATAAACTTCTCAATTGAGTCAATTCTTATTTCGATGTTCTTTTCTATACTTGAGGTTGTAACAATCCTCTCCACAAGGTTGCTGACATGGAGGTCAGGATGGATTGAGTGGGGAGAGCTCTTTTCCGCAGGGGAAACACAAGGTGGGAAGTTTTTGCCCGTAGGGAGTAAGGGCGGATAAGGGGGCCTGTTTAACTCTGGGGCTGGGAGAGATGGAAGGCAGAACATCATCTACAAGTGGTGGCAGATTAGGACAGAGCTCGAGGTAGGCTTTTTGGGGGAACAGCCTTCTTCAAGGGGAATAAGGTAGAGGGAGGCTTTCCTATTACTGGGTCTGTGAGGAACCGCTCAACAACAGAGTGGTTCTGATTAGTGGAGGCAGCAATGGGGGAGGAGGGGTGGTAAGAGGAGAAAAAAGGAGGGGTGGACAAGAGAGGGTCAATCAACATCAAGTATCATCATCACCATCATCATCAACAACATCATCATCATTATCATCAGATTGGTTGTTTGCTCAGGATCACACTATTATCAGATCCGAATTCTGAGCTGACGTTCTTTTTTTTTTTTTTTTACTGTGTGAGCGGCAGGGACCGCAGGAGACATGTACATTTTCTTTGTATAACAAAGACAATTTGAGTTTCAATCTCCTATGTGATTTTGTGTCTCAGCTATTGGTTCCAAGTGTGAACACTCATCTGGATGCTCATTGCATGTGTGTGTGAGGTTGAGGGTGACTGACTTGAGAATCATTGCAGAACCTTCTAAACTTCTGAGAAAACAAATTGGCAAAGAGAAACTCCTCTCACCTTCTTACACACCATGGTAAATTCAATGGTGTCATAGTTAGGCCTCTACCCTACAAAAGCCATCTTGTCTTCTTTCCTCCCAATGCGATGTTGTCATTCTTACTGATTCTAAGCTCAGCAGCATCACAGTCCTCTTGCTGTCATAGATGACACAGCGCATCATCTCAATGTAACACTACTCGACAGGATGGAAGCAAGCTTTGACGGTGAGACTCTCTGTGCTTATCATCCAGAGTGCTCGACTCCTCCAGAGAAGACTATAGGCCTGCAGTATTGTCGAGAGTGCCCTCAATCCAAAGTGAGAATCAACTCTCGTTCTTGTCCACAACAACCTGCTGCCCATTCCTTGCTCTCCATCTGTGCTGTGCAATCTCATCCTTCATCCTCCCTTTCTACACCTACGCAGGCTATGCTTGTTTGTTTGGATCTCCAGGAGCCTGAATGGTATACACTGCCATAGATGAGAGGGATCATCCACAAACCCTTCTACTCTATCCCCCCTTTTCTTGGTGACGTGTTGTGTCTCTCCGCTCCTTCTCCGTCCAGATCCTCTCTATGCACAATGTTCATCCCTTTGTTTTCTGAATTGGTTGAGGATTCCGAAGCCCTCTGCTCAAGGGCCATTTTTCTGCAGCTACTTGTTTCTGAACAGCTCTTCCTGGGCTTCGTGGATCACTCTTTTTCGTTTTTTCGGCCTGAGATCATTGGTTGAAGATGTGCTTCTGTAAATGGCGTGCACCTTATCCTCTCTTTCTCTTTATACTTATATTATACAATATTATTCTCATTTGCATGAAGCAGCTCTCAGATATTAAAGTCGTTCTCCATGACGGCTCGTCGTTTTTTCTGAGCTGACGTTCTAATATAGCTGATTCCCTTTTTTTTTTCTTTTTTTTTTTTAACATACTCCCAAGACTCCCATCCTACCACCCCTCTTGATATATCTCCTGGCGCAATCGAGCTTTTATTGTTTTTGCCCAGGTTGAGTAGAAGCCAGAACGACGCTGGCCGGAGCTGGGGCATCACCCTATAACCTTCATAGGAGCTTGAGGCCTTGGATAGAGATCTGGAGATTGCTGAGGGTGGAAGGCAATCATAATGCTCGACCACAGGCAACAATCTGGCCGACGAGGGTCGGCGGTGGGGTGGGTGGCACTCCCCTGTAACCTAGCTAGATTGGGGTGTGAGACCGGGTACAGGCTTGGTTGGTACACAATATTGGCTCGGTAGAGATTGGCTGCTTGGTATGTGGATACCTGAGATTAAGGTTAGGGTAGTATGTGAGGCCTGAGTAGATATGCATTCTGAGCATGGTAACCGCCCAGACGTCCGGACCGGGTTCCAAACAGTCCGGTGTCCGGTGTCCGGTGTCCGCTGTCTGGTCCCCATGTCCGGATGGAGGCCCCTGGGGCAAAAAAAAAAAAAAAAATGGGGCGGCCCAGGACGTTTGTCGGGTCCTAGCCGCCCCTCGAAAAATAACGGGGTGATTTTTAAGTGTCCTTTCACCCCACCGGACATGGCCTAGAGGTCCAGACACAAGATTCTGCAGGTTTTTGAGGTGGCG